TTCCTTACCTCTCAGGGAATAACAATGACAACTAGAACTTTCAGAAATCCTTTATGAAGGTTTAGCCTCTGTAAACTTGGTTATGAGGAGTCCACTCTGAGTCTGGTTCTCTTTGGGCACAGTGACAGAGCTCAAACCCTGGGCTTGGAGGTACAAGACAGTTGCCATGTCATCCCCAGTACCTCTAGATGAAACTGCAAGAGTTACAGTATTGCATATATTTCAGTAAACATTACCAGAGGAAGGTAGTGATGGTTTCTTTCCAGTTGGAACTTTATTGTCTTATTTTATTTTATTTTATTTTATTTTTGTCTTTTTTGAGACAGGGTCTCACTATGCAGCTCAGGCGGGCCTTGAGCTCACTTTGTAGTCCAGGCTGGTCTCGAACTCCAAACGATCCTCCTGCCTCAGCCTCCCGAGTGCTGGGATTACAGGTGTGTGCCACCACACCCAACTAAAACTTTATTGTCTTTGACAGCCAGGCATGGTGGCGCACACCTGTAATCTCAGCACTTAGGAGGCTGAGGCAGGAGGATCATTGCAAATTCAAGACCAGCCTGGGCTACAAAGTGAGCTCATGACTGGCCTGAAATGCATAGCAAGACCCTGTCTCAAAAAAAAACAATTGTATTGTCTTTAACAGGGATCTTCTCAATCCAAGGTGACCCTGTGAGCATGCTGTAGAGCAGGCCTCTTTTTAGCGGGGGATGGGGGAGATTGAGACAGGTTCTCAGTATATAGCCCAGGCTGGCCTCGAACTTTCAGCAATCCTCCTGCCTCGCTCCTGAGTGGTGGGACTACAGCCATGGGCCATGCCCAGCTGCGGCCTCTTGAACGTAACTGAGTGATCCTGAACTTTTCTGAAGAGCAAAGTACACTGTTTACCTTTCATTTCCACCCCAAATCAATGAAGACCTAGAGTAAGAAGAAAGGAGAGTGTGCATGTGTCCAAGGGTTCTTCTTAGCCTGTCTCAATGGGCAGATCCCAGGCAAAACATCACAGCCCTTTTCAGATGAAAACACTATGCTGGAAGTTCTTATTACTGGATAGACCCTGGGCTAATGAAAATGGGTCTCACAGAGCAATGAGGAGCCTTTTGTGGGGCAAACAATTGGCCTCTTTGAATCTCTCATTGGAGACTAACTAGCCATTTGAGTGAATTAGGCACACTAAGGAACAGCTAGTCCAAGAAGGGCCTCAGCTAAGGTAGTTAAGTGGACAAAGGGTTTGAAAAAGAGGAAAAAATAGTAATGTTTTCCTTATTAGTAAAAAGGAAGAAAATGCAAAAGAAACATATTTAGTATCCCATTTTGGCCCCCTTTTTTTGGCTTGTTTGTTTGTTTTGTTTGAGGCAGGGTCTGGCTATGTAATTTAGACTGACCTCCAACTCATGGCGATCCTCCTGCCCCAACGCTGGGGTTACAGGTGTGCATCACCACCTTTGGCTGTCACTGTAGAAAACTGGTCAGTGTCTTTTACAAAGAGGAACCTGGGGGTTAGAGGTGTAGCTCAGAGAAGAGAGAAAGGGGAGAGAGAGAAGGGAAAAGGAGAGAAGAGAGAGAAAGGGAAAAGATCAGAAAGAGGAGAAAGAGAAGAGGGGAGAGAGAGAGAGAGAGAGAGAGATCTGACACGAAACAAGGAAAGAAACTGAATGAACAAGACCAGACATTGCGGGCATGGTGCCACACACCTGTAATCTCTGCATTTGGGAGGCTGAGGCAGGAGGAATGCCACAAGTTTGAGGCCACCCTAGACTACACAGTGAGTTCAAGGCCAGCCTGAACTACATAGTGAGATCCTGCCTCAGAAAACCAAATGAAAAGAAAAAGAGTGGACATTGCTGTAAAGAAAAAAGGGGTGCCAAGTAGACTGATGGTCTTCAGGAAAGTGTCTCTGAAGATCAATAAAGGAAGGAGCCATTCATGGGAAGATCTAGGGGCACCACAGTCCAGGGAGGGCAAACAGGAGCAAATGTTGTGAAGTAGGATTGAGCTTGGGTTCACTGAGCAATAGAAAGAAGATAGTTCTGTTTTTCTGTGGTACCAGGGATCCAGCCCACTTTACAATTAAGCTACATCACCAGCCCTTTTATTTTTTGAGACAGGGTCCCACTAAATTGCCCAGGCTGGTTTCCAACTTGTGATTTTCCTGTCTCAGCCTCCCAAGTAGCCGGATTAGAGGTGTGTGTCACATGCCCAGCACAGAAACTATTTTGGCTTTGTAAGCGAGAAGAGCAATCTAAAATGAGTTTGGAGGGATAGGTAGGGGGTAGTCCAGGTTGGCCTTGAACCCACAGTTATCCACCTGCCTCAGGCTCCTTTTTTTTTGTTTTGTTTTCTCTTTCTGAGACAGGGTCTCGCTATGCAGTTCAGGCTGGCCTTGAGCTTACTTTGCAGCTCAGGCTGGCCTCGAACTCACAATGATCCTCCTGCCTCAGCCTCCCGAGTGCTGGGATTACAGGCATATGCCACCAGGCCCAGCGCTTTGTCAAGTTTTTGAGGCTATAAATTGTTCAGGCATCTGAAACCCTGGGGCAGAGCAGAACTGAAGAGCGTGATAATGGTTATAGAACTGAGAAGAAGATGCTATCAGAAAAGGTGGGCTCGTCAAGGACAAATAGGAGTTGAGGGATTAGCTAGTAACATTTTTTTTTTATTTTAAAGATAAAAGGAGGGAAACATTAACAGACATACAACATTTTACAACGTATCACAAGCACAATACAGACAACACAGAGTTACAAACAAAGTGGTAGGGAATTAACAATGGTGGTTGTATTACATATTGATATCTTCAAAGTGGCTTCTCGTGAAAACAGATATAAACATGCAATACTGGTCAACCAAAGACTCATTGACAGTTTCTTTCAGCATAGAAATAGAAGACAGAAGAACAACCATGTTAACTATCCTGTATATACATACATACAAAATTTCTCCTTCTTTCCCTTCTCTTTTCCCACATCCCAACATTTTTTTTTTTATCTCTTTGAGATGTCTCACTATGCAGTTCAGGCTGGCCTTGAGCTCACTTTGTAGCCCAGGCTGGCCTCAAGCTCGCAATGATCCTCCTGCCTCAGCCTCCCAAGTGCTGGTATTACAGGCGTGTGACGCCACACCCAGATTGTTAGTAACATTCTTAATGCTATTATTGGATCAGGAAACAGACTTACTCAAGCAAGCTGGTGTGTTTATAGGGCTGCAGAAAGCAGCTCCCTGCCTAGCTTCTAAGGCATACAGATCTAAAGCTATGCTCACCTTGCTGGTCCCACTCTAAGAAGAAACCTTTTAAATACTAAAAGGACACAGCACATTTCAGGTGAGCATGAAGCATATACAAGAAGCTGGGAGTGGCAAGGGGAAATAACATTCCCTCATCATGGACTGTTCAAAAGCAGAGCTTTCAGCCAGGTGTGGTGGAGCACGCCTGTAATCCCAGCATTCAGGAGCCTGAGGCAGGAGGATCATTGTGAGTTCAAGACCAGCTTGGGCTACAAAGTGAACTCAAGGCCAGTCTAAACTGCACAGGGAGAACTTGTCTCAAAAAGACCAAAAAAAAAAAAAAAAAAGCAGAGCTTTCTTCCACTCCTGTCTGAGACTCATGCATTCATTCATTTCATCGCCTCAATTACTGGTTTTCTACTTATGCTACAAATTGTTTCAGGGCTTAGGGCTACCATAGCAAATGAGACAAAGTCTTTACTCTTATGTAGCTTTCAAAGCAGGCAATAAACAAATGGCTATATAATATAAAGATAGGTAGAAAACTAAGTGGGAAAGAGGACAAAGAGTGAGTAGCCAGGCATAGTGGCACACGCCTGTAATCACAACATTTAGGGAGGCTGACGCAGGAGGATCACAAGTTCAAGCCTAGCCCAGACAATTTACCAGCTTAGTGAGACCCTGTCCCAAAGTAAAAAATTAAAAATGGGCTGGGGGCTAGGCGTGGTGGTTCACGCCTTTAATCCCAACACTCAGGAGGCTGAGGCAGGAGGATTGCTGTGAGTTCAAGGTCAGGCTGAAGTGCATAGTGAACCTCGTCTCAAAAAGACCAAAAAAAAAAATAGGGCTGGGGATATAGCTCAATGCAAAGGCCTTGGGTTCTACCCTCAGTATTTAAAAAAAAAAGGAATAGGGACATAAAATTGTTTGGGGAAAGCTTTAAGTAGGTGACGTTTGAACAAAGCTGTGAATGACACGAGAGTGTAATTACGCAAACACCAGGAGAAGATCAGTCTGGGTCCAAGCAGCAGCAGGGATCTTAAGGTGGGGTTCTTGTTGGTGAGTTCACGGGACCCCAGTGCACGGGAGCTCAATGAATGAGGGGGAGAAGGGTGAGAGATGCAACCACAGAGGTGACGCTGAGGGGTGGATGCACTGAAGTAAAACCTTTCAGGCTCTGGTGAGGGTATCACGTTTATTCTGAGTGTGACGGGTCCCAGTTGGAAACTTGCGAGGAAAGAGTAACGCAATCTCATTCACATCTTTAAAGAAACACCCTGGATGCTTGTAGAGGACAAACTGTGGAGGGTGTTACAGTTTAATATAGAAATTTCCCTCAAAGGGCTGGGGATATAGCCTAGTGGAATAAGCACCTGCCTGGTAAGCACAAGGTCCTGAGTTCAATGCCTGGTACCAAAAAAAAAATTTAATTAATTAACTAATTAATTCCCCTCAAAGCCTCATGGGCTCATAGGTGGAGCTTTGGGGAGGATCAGGCTGTGCGATGCTCATCACTGGATCAGTTCACACTGATGGTTTCTCACTGGGTGTGATGCTGCAAGGTGCAGCCTGGCGGGAAGAGGTGGGTCAGCTTGAGCACAGCCTGGAAGGTCTATATACAATGTTTAGACAGAGTCCACCAAAAAAAATGTGGACACACTCCAGGAAAAGAAAAATTTGTATAAATATTTTAATATGAGATTTATTGAGACATCATGAGATTAATACAAGTTACCTTTGGCTTCTACATTTACAAGAGGTGCTCAGACAGGCGGCCATTAGCTTCCAGACATTTATTAGTATCACAAACTGCTGCTGGGGTAACCTTGGCCAGTGAGACTGCTGCTCCTGCACTGTCAGTTTCTTCTCCAAGGGCTGGCAGTGTAATGAGTTTTCTGTGATACACAATATCCTCTAGGGTCCCACACATGAGGGTAATACCATCTGTTGAAAAAACATCATAATATTTTTCTTTTACTGAAGTGTGCATACATTTTTTGGCAGAATATATCCCTCCTCCTCCCTTGAGCCCTCCTTGATCCCTCTCTGCTTCCTTCCTGCCTGTGCCCTATCATGGGCTGTTTCTCCTCTGCCATGTGCCTGTCATGCTGCCCTGCCTTGGAGCCAGCCAACTATAGACTAAAACCTCTACAGATTGTGAATCGAAACTAACCTCTGCTCTTTTACCTTGTGGGTGCCCACTACTTCCAGCAAAGAGAAAGTGACCAAGAAAGAGGGCAACAGTGGCTTTCTGAGTAGCTTAGAGGACAATGGCAGACACGGGTGGTAGCAGTAAGGGGAGAAAAATGGTCAGATTCTGATGACAAGATTGAACGTGTGTAATGAGAAAAACGAGATGCCAAGAAGGACTTCCATGTTTCTGATCTAGAAAAGTGGCTGAATGCTATTGTTATTTATAGAGATAGGGAGCCCCAGGTGAGGAATGGGATTTTTTTATTTGTTGTTTGTTTGTTTGTTTTGTCTTTTTGAGACAGGGTCTCGCTATGCAGTTCAGGCTGGCTTTGAGCTCACTATGTAGCCCAGGCTGGTCTCAAACTCACAAAGATCCTCCTGCCTCAGCCTCCTGAGTGCTGGGATTACAGGCGTGTGCCACCACGCCCAGCATGTTTTTTGTTTGTTTTGGAAGGGGAGGTTATGGTATGAAAGGTCACAATGCAGAATTCATTTGCAGACATGCTAAGTTTTGTGGGGTTTTGTTTTGTTTTTTTCTTTTTTTTGGTACCAGGAATCAAACTCAGGACCTTGCGCTTGCCTGGCAGGCGTTTATGCCACTGAGCTATATCCCCGGCCTGCCCAGGCTGGTCTTGAACTTGCAACAGTCCTCTCCTCCTGCCTCAGCCTCCCGAGTGCTAGGATTACCGGCGTGCACCACCACGCCTGGTTAGGCATGCTAAGTTTAAGACAGCAATTAAGTAGAAAGGTTGAGGGGCTGGGGATTTAGCTCAGCGGCAAAAGCACCTGCCTGGCAAGCGCAAGGTCATGAGTTCGGTTCCCGGTACCGGAGAAAAACCAAAAAAGAAAAAAAAAGAAAAAAAAAAGTAGAAAGGTTGAGTGGAAAGGGGGAAATGTGTACCTGGAGCTAGGAAAAGAACAGGGTTGGAAGCATAAATACAGAAATCTTCAGTACTGTCTTAGTTACTATTCTCGTTGCTGAGACAAAATACCCAACACCCACAAGTTAAGGGAGCAAAGGTTTGTTTAGCTCAGTCTGTAGAAGTTTCAGCCCATAATCGGATGGCTCCAAGGCAGGGTAGCCTCGCAGAGAGGCATCACCGAGAACAGTTGAGGGTGGGCAGAAGGTAGCAATGCAAGCAAGGGATGAGACAAGTCTCTTCCTGTCCCTTATATTATCCCTGGGTTATGCCATTAGGGTGGTGCCAAACCAATCAGCGCACTGATCCAACTATCCACCCTTAACCCTAGCATTGTCCCATGAATCAGTCACACACTCTAGATGCAGCCACTTCTGAAAAAGCCCCACCTATGACTGCATGAGGCTTTGGGGGACATCTAGACATAAGCCATAATAAGTATACACATTCTATTTCTTTATTTTAATGTTATTAAAAAATTGTAAACATATAAAAGCAGAATATAAAAAAAAACAACCAACCCTGATCCCAAAAGCAGAATATCCCTGTACTCATCGTCTTGTTTCATCACTTAATAACATTGTGTCAATCTTATTTCATCCTTACCCATTGCAGTGTGCGGCCACGGTTGCATTGGTTGCATAGTTTAGTCACAGAGAGGACCCAGACAGGCTGCTACCTTAGCATAAGAGAGCTTCAGGGAAACAGCCATGAGCTGAGGCCTCTGCAGTTAATTGTGTTTTGTTTCTGTATTTGAGACAGGGTCTCACTATGTAGTTCAGGCTGGCTTTGAACTCACTGTGTAGCTCAGGCTGCGCTTGAACTCTGGGCAACCCTACTGCCTCAGCCTCCCAAGTGCTGGGATTAGAGACCTGCACCATGCAGTTAGTTATTTATTTGTAACTCAAGGACGTGAGAACAGACTTGCAGAAGAAAAATATTTGCAACATATTGTACAGGAGTTTTGGTCAGGGGACAGGGCCAGAACGGAGATACACGTCAACCTAGTTTAAGGAATCTTTTCAAGAGCAGAAGGCACATAGTGAGTAAAGCAAACATCTGTGAGGAGAAACTGCTTTTAATTCTGCTGTCTGTTGTCCTGAACGTTCTGCTCTAAATTCCAAACGTGAATTCCAGGAGTCTAAAACTGTTGTCCTAAAAGCCTCTCCTTCATTTCATTCACTTCAAACATTCTTTTGGCCAGAGTCTCCCCACACTTACCCACTCCTCTGTGGGTTGAAGTATTTTAAAGCAAAATGTACCCTATAAATATTTATCAATTAAACTGAGTGTGGTGGTGCATACCTATAATTCCAGCACTTAGGAAAGCTAAGGCAGGAAGATCTCAACTTTGACTCCTGGCTGGGCAATTTAGCAAGACCCTGTCTCAAAATTTTTAAAATTTTATTTATTTATTTTTTTTGTCTTTTTGAGACAGGGTCTCACTATGCAGTTCAGGCTGGCCTTGAGCTCACTTTGTAGCCCAGGTTGGTCTTGAACTCACAACGGTCCCGCTGCCCGAGTGCTGGGATTATAGGCCCGCACCACCACGCGCAGCTTAAAAATTTTAAAAAGGGCTGGGAAAGTAGTTCAGTGATTGAATGCTCCTGGGTTTGATTCCTAGTACCACTAAAAAAGTCAAAAATAAGTAACTGTTACGGCTTGTATCTAGATACCCCCACAAAACCTCAAACACTCATAGGTGGGGCTTTTCAGAGGTGGCTGGATCCAGGGTGTGTGAATAGGGATTAAAGGGTGTATGATAACAAAATCAATCCACTGATTGGTTTAGCATCGTTCTAGGTGTGACTAATGGGAAGGCCCGCACAAGTGTGGGTAGCACCAACTGATAGGCTTCTACCCCAGATGGAAAGAGAAAGATGAGGGCTGGCATGGTAAGGCAAGCCTGTAATTGTAGAGCTCTGGAGGCTGAGGAAGGAGAATCATTGGAAGTTCAAGGCCAGCCTGGGCTACAAAGTGAGCTCAAAGCCAGCCTGAACTGCATAGCGAGACCCTGTCTCAAAAAGACAAAAAAAAAAAAAAAAAAATTATCGGACCAAATGACATTACAGATGGAGTGAGCCTAAAGAGATGCCAGTCATGATAGCACACATCTGTAATCCCAGCAGTCTGGAGGCTGAGGCAGGAAAATCATCATGAGATTGAGGCCAGCCTGGTCCACATAGTGAATTCAAGGCCAATATGAACTACACAGTAAGACCCTGTCTCAAAAAGCAAAAGAAGGGGTGTGAGGGGGCAGTTTTAGGACAGACACTCTACTTTTAGAGACTGGCCGTGAGCTCACTTTGTAGCCCAGAACAGCAGGGGGAACCCATTAAGACTGGGAAGGAGCAGCAAGTGAGGTGTAGGGTAAATGTAGGGGGTGCAATGGCAAACAGAAACACTGAAATGGAACCTAGGATTTGGAGGCAGATTTATTTGCATTGATGGGCACTGACTACTAAAAAATGTCTATCCTCAAAGGCTCAGGGAGGGGGCGTTTTTGGGGTCTGCAAACAAGATGCAGAGTACTTGGCAGTTATTGGTTGGTTCTTACAGTGTACATCATAGTGACCAGCTGTGCACCATAATGACCAGCTGTTCCTAAGAAACAGAAGTAACAGGAGCTGTGACAGGAACTGAAGTAAACCAGAGGTTACCTGGGCAACTAATAGAAACTGAAGTACAATGGCTGGGAGGGGGGTTGCATTTTCTGCTACAGATGAAACCAAATGAAAACCAGATTTCAAGAAAGAGAGGGGCCGGGCATGCACAACTGAAGCACTATATACAGAAAACTAGCTCCCCAAATCCCCTTGTCCTCACGTTCTGGTAACCAGCATTCACTTTCTGTGATTTTTTAATCTTTTTTGACTGGTTTATTTTACTTAGCATGAGGTCCTCCAGATTCATTCCATGGTGTAGCATGTGTCAGAATTTTCTTCCTTTTACAGGTTAAATGATAATCACCTGTATGTATTTGGGTTTTTTTGGTTTTTTTGTCTTTTTGAGACAGGGTCTCACTATGCAGTTCAGGCTGGCCTTGAGCTCACTTTGTAGCCCAGGCTGGTCTTGAACTCACAACAATCCTCCTGCCTCAACCTCCCAAGTGCTGGGATTACAGGCACCATGCCCAGCAATAATCACCTGTATGTATGTGTAAACACATTTTGCTTATTTATTCATCACCTATGGACCTTGGGTGGCTTCTATCTTTTGGCCATTGTAAATAATGCTGCTATGAATATCGATATCCAAATATCTCTTCAGGACCCTGTCTTGACTTTCTTTCTTTCTTTCTTTCTTTCTTTCTTTCTTTCTTTCTTTCTTTCTTTTTTTCTTTTGAAACAGGGTCTCTCTATGCAGTTCAGGTTGGCCTCGAACTCCCTATGGAGCCCAGGCTGGTCTTGAACCCACAGTAATCCTCCTGCCTCAGCCTCCAGGGTGCTGGGATTATAGACAAGTACCATGCCTAGCAGGAGCTAGGGTTTGAAAGGATGAATGAATTGGTGAGTACAGTTCAGTGCACCTGTGATCCAATCACCTTCCAAACACATGAGAATTTTGGAGGACATTTTAGATCTAAACCATAACAATATATAGATTTAGATTACATATAGGTTTAGATTAGAGGTATAGATTACAGGCACAATCCCAGCACTCAGGAGGCTGAGGCACGAGGATCACTGAGAGCAGAAGACCAGCCTAGGCTACATAAAAACAAACCAAAACAACAGAAACCAAAAATCCAAGAATTATAGAAAGCAGAGAGCTTCTGGACTGCGGAACATGCAATGATGCCTGGAGTGCGGGGTACCAGCAAAGGCAATA